CGCCCTCATAGACGAGGTCAGCGCTCAGCTTATCTCACTAGCCTTCATGTTCGGTCTCACACCGAGTTCTAACAAGGGAGGTTCCACCCTTCCCCCGAGATGCCGTCGTCGTGCCCTCTATCCCGCCCTTCCCTCCAGGGGGAGCTCAGTCGCCGTCGCTCCCCTCTCCTCCACCCGCCCCTCTCCGCAGGTGGTGCTCGCCGACCTCGGCTGTGTGGAGATGGCGGATCCCCACGGCAGGTTGAAGAAGAAACTGCGCTACAGCCCGACCTGCGATGACCTCGGAGTATGAACGCCCGCTTACAGAGCGGTAGACGTTTTCCTTGGGGAACCAGCGCTACTCAGAGGACCTGGACATGTGGTCCATCGGGTGTCTGGTGGCGGAGTTGTACACGCGCAAGGTGTTGTTCCAACCAGAGCCTTGCGGCGCGCTCGGGCATCCAGGGGGGCACCCAAAAGACTTCGTGGTTTTCTGCAGGGAGGTCTTGGGGATCCCAGGCAAGGAGCCAGGGTCGGGGGACTTCTACAATTACGAGGACCAGGAACCCGCCCCGTGGCTGGACAACCTGCCTTTCTTTGAGAAGTGGTTCAAGCGGTCGGGCGAGGGTTGGCTAAAGGCTGAAACAGCGAAGGCACTCGACGGCCGAGGACGCTGCCCCGTTGACGAACTTGCAGACTGCCCCCCAGACTTGTTGAAGTCCGCCGAGAGCTGCCTGCTTTGGCACCCTGGCGCCAGAGCGACAATCAGTCGTCTAAGGGCTCGTCGCTTCCTGCAGCCGGCTGGCGCCCAGCTCGACGTGCGCATCTCCATGGCACAGGGGAAAATCGGCACGGGCACGATAGCGGAGGCGGAGCTGGGCCCAGACTTGCTCCGCTTCTTGCAGAGAGACCCGTGCTGGCAGAACTTGGCCGAGGAGCGCCTGGACACGGGGGCAACCGTCGCCGTATACGTCCGAGGCGACGAGGCGGCAAAGGGCTTGAAAACAGAGGTCGCAGGCATCGTGGACGACGAAAGCACCCCGAAGTGCCGCAGCCTCAACAAGGACGGGAATTTGCAGATCACCCCCTTGTCCCACATGGCCGCCTTCGTGCGAGCGCCGCGGAAGAAGATGCGCCCGTGGCTGCAACAGCTGGGAGACAAAATGCGCGAGGCTGTCAAAGCCGACGGCATGCCACCTGCCATCGTCGAGCAGAACGGAAAGCCCATCATGACAGAGCACTTCGCCGACAACGCGTTCGCGTACGCATCGATCCAGCTCATGCAACCAGGCGCACGGGACGATGGTTGGCACACAGATGGCGGATGTTCCCTGTTGCACGCGGCCGTGACGATTTTCGGGACGCGCTCCGTGCAAGTGAGGATCCCAGGGGTCCTGGGAGCACATGATGGGGCGTCACCCTCGAGCACAGCCTCCTGCGGAAGGGTCGTGACCCTCGAGCAAAAGCCTGGGTCCTTCTACATGGGCACCCTGTCCTCCCTCGGGCACAACGTGCACCACCACGCCTCCGCGGACTGCCTGGACTGTTTCGCGACCCACCACGAGCTGCAACAGCGCGTAGACGACAGCAGGCTGCAGATCGCCGTCATGATCCGCTCCGACGTCTTTCGGGAGTTGAGGGCGCGCAGGATCGACGCCGCGCCTGGCCCGAAGGAGTTCTTCAACGTCGTGAACCACGTCGTGGCCGATCACCTGGCACGGGTCCCCGTGGCGCTGCCCGACCTCACGGAGGTGCTTGACGAAATGCGGTGGCCCGCTTCCACGGAGGCTGTGGGGCTTTCCGATTAGTACTCAGCACGGCCCGCGCAGTCCGAAAGAAGTTTATCGTCATCCTCATCATCATCAGCATCATCATCTTCATCGCCATCATCATCGCAATCAGCGGCTTCATCATCATCGTCATCATCATCATCAACATCAACATGTTCACGCCGCCATCATCGTCATGCGGGTCTTGATTTAATCACCATCATCATTACATGATGATGACGATGACAAGGAGATGCTGATGGATATTATGATGATGACGATGATGAGGAGATGGTGATGATGATGGCGATGACGCGGACGATGATGAATATCATGACGACGACGATGACGATGATGATGGCGATGATGCAACAACCGGTTGAGTTGGTTGAGTCCGAAAAGCCCGCCCTAAATCAAGCCAGTGGATTTCATCTGCTTTGTGTGAGTGATCTCCACGGACCGGAGATTAGAGGTCCGGGGCGCGGGATCGGCGTCCAGCGATCACTCCTGGGATCTCGGAATCAGCCAGAGATGACCCCTATCGCCTTCTACTGTTTGCTATCGTAATGGCGGTTCTGCTCCACGACGCGGAGCGGGGGGCAATGCCCAGTTTGAGCACTATAGTGCCCCAGGTGCGAGCTGGTGCGTGCAGACGACCTGCTGCTCGTGAATTCCACGGGCGACGAGGCCTTCGAGTATATTCACTGCGTGCAGCGAGCTGGGCAACAATGCGTTTTCGAATTCAACTGGCGAGAATTGGATGGTCTTAGCGTGTATCCTGGAGCCGAACGTTGATGGCAACTCCGCAGAAGGACATCGTGCCTCGGGAGCTTGATGGTCAGCGACGGGGAAGTCGGCTCGGAGGGTTCCCGCCGTCTGGGCGCGGCAAGGGTGTGGTCTCATCCTGCATGGGAGAATTCGAATCACTGCGCGTCTTTGATGCCTGCGTGGTAAGCAATCAGCTGTACTGCCTTCGCGCGTCTTGTCTGCGAACACAAGAGCTTCGCGTATTGGGCGCCTTGAAAGCCAGGTGCCTCCGCAAAGTTCTACGCCTTCCACGTCTTTGCATGAGCAAAGCTCTGCTTCGCCGCCAGTTGCCCTTCTGGGGCGCATTGTCCGGAAACCAGGCGACGACCCCGTTGGGCTGACGGTTTTCCGGCTCTTTTTTTTCGACCTGGCGCTGTCCATGTTGAAGTGGGAGAGGGGTGGCCGAGAAAAAGTGGTGTTCTGAGATTCGTGCGCGCGCTATCCGGGCATCAGGGGGTTGGGGGTCCTTGCGCGTCTGTGGTCATGTTCAGTGCAATCTATCGCTGCCTGGCCCGCGACCGTCACTCGGTATTGCGATGCCCTTGGAGTTTGTTTCTTCATGTTCATGTGTGTTTTGCACCCATCGCTCTCTCTCTCTCTCTCTCTCTCTCTCTTGTCAACCTAGTTTTTGTGCGGCGGTCGCGGTCTTGCGCGCAGAGACGAAGCGAAACAAGTCAAGCTCGGCGGCTGGAACCTTGGGTGGCAGTGGCGCATTACTATCCAGGCGGCTATGGCGGCGAGACAGGGGGGCGCGCTGGCCGCCGCCTAAGGGGGCGCCCCACATGGCGGGCGCAGCGCGGACGCGACGCGGAACGGCTTGTTTCGTCCGCCTAGACGTCGTCGGCCGTGATTTTCCCGAGGCGTCCTTCACGCGCGCGGTGGGTCGTGCAGAACGGGCTGCCTCTGAATGGATGACTTGCTGGAGCGCACCCTCCCCGCCAAGCCAGCGGCGTGCGCGTTCGCGCGCCATCGGGTGCGCAGCGGGCGGCCGACGTCCTGTCCGAACGTGGGCGGCGTGCGCGGGGGCCCGCCGCGGGGGCGTCGGCCCTGCCCGCGCTCGTGGGGCGCGGGCCCGGGCACGCGGCGCCTCAACCTGCTCGGCGCGTGGGTTCCCCAGATTTGTCGGGGAGGAGGAGGGAGGAGGGAGGGAGGAGGAGGAGGGGGGAGGAGGGAGGAGGAGGGAGGAGGAGGAGGACGAGGGAGGAGGAGGAGGAGGAGGAGACGGAGGAGGAGGAGGGGGGAGGAGGGAGGAGGAGGAGGAGGAGAAGGAGGAGGAGACGCGAGGCCCCCCCCCCCGTGCCGGTCTTTCGCATCCTCGGGGGCGTCTTCGGTCTGGACGGCTCGGCTGCGTCGCGGTCGGTCGCGATCGGTCGGTCAGCGCGCGCCCCCCTCCGGCCCCGCGGGCCCAGATCAGCAGACCCCCGCGCACTTGCACGGACAGGGCGTATGGCTCCACACACCCCACTGCCTCCGAAAATCTGGACCCGCAGCTCGTCCCAGCAAGCGCATGGGGCTTCAGCGCCAGCGCATCGCTGACGGCCCCAGAATGGCTCCCCAGTGTAATGCGCGCTTGCCGCTTCACCCACGTGTCCAGGTTTCGGGTCTCGATGCGTAACGTAGGTTCGTGTCGTGTCGATTCGGCGACGACCGCATCGCGAGCGTTCAAAATTGAACGCAGCCACCGGCCATTCGTCCAGCATTGAACGACCTCCGCTTTTTGGGAGCCCCGATCTTCAAGGTTGATGGATCCACGCGGTGTCAGAAACCAACGCCCAAGTCGTCACGGCACGAACCTGCCGTACCCACATGCAGGTCTATAGGGATTTGGCGCAAACGCGTTGCCGACCGCCCAACATGTTGTCGTATTGTTTTGTGTGTTGTTGATACTGCAAACCCGCCACTTGCCCCATCGTGGCAGGGTTTTCGGATCCCTTCGAGGCTTCCTCTCTGCGCGCGCGCATTCACGGGAGCGTGGGGCCAGCAATGTAGGCAAGGCGGGTGAAGTGGGAAGCTCCGGCGGAAGCAAGAGGTACAAATATGTCCAGAGCTCGGGGCTGTGCCATGATGCAACCCGGGCAGTTTTTCCATGTGAACACAAACTGCCATCTTGGCTCAAACATTCTATACCTCGCGGCGGCACTCGGTGGCGGCGTCGGCGTCAACGTCGACGGCAGCTTCAGTGGTCTTCTTCGTCTCCGTCCTCGCGTCGACATCACGTTGTCATTCTTAATTTCTCCCTCTCTCCTCGTGTCTCCTCCTCTTCTGTCGATCTTATCCTCATCTGCTCATCCCTACTCCCCTCCTCATCATCCCTTTTTCCTACTGCATGATTTGTGTTGGAATGTGATCATCCCTCCTCCCAGGGAGGGGAGGAAAAGGAGAAGGGTGGAGGAGCAACAGCAAGGCGGATGGAAAACGGAGGAGGAGGATTGCCCTGTGACATCCGGCTCAGGGATCTACACTCACCGAACCCGTAGCGCGTCCCGTAGCGCGTTCATTTATCTTCTCCGCGGCCGCGCCGGCGCCGTGGGCAGACATGTGGAGTGCACGCGGGGCGTAGGCGGACGAGGCGTCGCCATGTGGCCGCCTCGCGAAGAGGCGCCGCCGACCGATCTCTGACTGTCTGCGCGCGGCGGATCTATTTGCGAGAAGTGTGCACGTGATGATCTTGGCAGGGCAGGCGCTGTCGGAGAGGAGCGGCACAGCCTCGCGTCTGACGGCCTGGCTGCGAGCATCTTTCGAGGCATCTTCTGAACGTTTCTGTTTTGGTCGATCTCGCTGCGGTAGCAGGAGGAGGAGGAGGAGGAGGAGGAGGAGGAGGAGGAGGAGGAGTAGGAGACGGAGGAAGACGAGGAGGAAGACGAGGAGGAGGAGGAGGAGTAGGAGGAGGAGGGAGGTCTCAATGAGTGTGTATTTCTTTGTCATCGTGACACCTTTGAGGGCTTGTTAGTAGCAGCCTCTTCCAACGACTCCATTCTTGACCACCTGCGTCTCTGCACACGCTTCCCACATCCAATCAAGCTACCTCGGCAGTGCCGTGACGCATGCTCGCCATCTTGTGGACCTCTGGTGCCCGTGGACCTGTCAGCCTTCCTTAGCTCTGTCTCGCGCCGACGCCACCGCCCCGACTATCGTGAGATGTCCTCTGCCGCCCTGAGGCGATCACGTGGACGTACCGCATGCCTCTGGTGCAACCGGCGGGGCGGGGGTCAGAGCTCAATGACCGCATCTTGACCACCACAGAGTCGACTCTCTCACGACCTGCGTTCTCAACATGAGTGTTCGATGTTTGACGCGTGTCTGCGAGCTGCATAATCGGCTAACGCTGTCCATCTGCCTGCAGCAGTCCTCGTTGACGTGCCAGTGCAACAGCAATATAGTATGCGCAGAATGGTTCTACGGAGCTTTGTCCGAACAGGCGCGGTGGAATCAACTTGAGGCCGTCTGGGAAACAATGCTACCATTCTGAAGCACGTCGTGAGCGTACCGTCCATGTTCGTTGCGCTGCCTCTGGCGGGCTGCTTGTAGGCAAACTTAGGGGCTTCTTTGGGGCCTCGTGAGGCTGTCTTGGACGCGATGATTCCACTGAGCTGTCCCGAAGCAGCCCGGTTGAGCCATCCTCAGGCTGTGTAGTGGGGCGTTTTTCCCTAACACTCCTGTGTTTTTAGGTCCTTGTTGTTTCGAATTCGCAGCGCCACGCCTCTCCTCCTACTCCCTCCTCCTCATTCTCCTCCTCCTACTCCTGCTCTTGCTGCTGCTGCTCCTCCTCCCTCCCTTCCTTCCTCCCTGGTCTTCTCCCTCCTTGTCCTCCTCCTCCTCCTCCTCGTCCTCCTCCTCCCACTCCTCCCACTCCTCCCACCTTCCCCTCCTCCCTCCTCCTCCTCCTCCTCCTCCTCCTCCTCTTCCTCCTTGTCCTTCGTCTTCTCCTTCTCCTCCCTCCCTCCCGTTTACTGGCCGCATCCTTTCTGCGCTGTTGCCAGCACTCGTACGTGCTTTTCGGCACACCCCTCACCAGGATCGTGCTCCATAGAATACCCCCCTCGCCCGTATTTGGCACACCCCTCGTGCTTGGCCCGAAGGGTTCGCCCCATGTGGCCCCAGCGGGCGCGTCCGCATGTGCCCCTCGCCAGTTTGTCGGCCTACCCCTCAGACAGATCGTACCCTACAGGGAGATGCATGTTAGTGCGGCCCCTGCAAGGTTCATTTCCACTGAGGGAAGTGCCTCGTTGGAAGACAACCGTATGATAATCCTAAAGCGCGCCAGAACACCACTCTCAGGACTGCAACGCCACGAGTCAACCGGACTGTTCCGCATCGCGCCAGAGCTCCATTCTTAGGATTTCAGCACCACGAATCAACGTAATTGTTGTGCCTTGACAGTCCTGAGTCGTTCCAGAACACAATTTCTATTATGTGGACCATGAGAGTCCGAGAGACTCTTGCAAATGTTGAAAGCGAACGTGCGCGGCGCTAAGGCGAGAGGCACATTTGGAAAAGGAACCGCTCTCCATCTGGGAGGCGCATACACATTCTTTGAAACGAGTGTGCGCGGCGCTGAGGGGAGAGCCACATTTTGAAAACGACCCGCCCCCAATCCGTACAAGGTGTGCACGTGGTCCAAAACGAATGTGCGCGGCGCTAAGGCGAGAGCCCCCATGGGCGTTGGCGCGTGCCTCCCTCGCCTGATTCGGCGCACCCCTCCTGCGGGTTGTGCCACGCACGGGGGCTCCGCGCGGTTCCCTTGTGGTCGTGTTCGCACGTGCCCTTTGCCCGTCTCGGCACCTCCGCCCGCGCCCTCGGAGCCATCCATCCGCCTGGCGTCTCGCCCAGCCTGGCGGCCGACAGGATGCGCGCCTCTTCCTTCTCTCGCACCCGCCTTGCCCGACTTGTGCTCTGCAGGCACCGGCGGTTGCCATGCTCGCGTGCCGGACGGTGGGCGGAGGACCGGGCCGAGGGTCGTTTGAGCGATCTCTGTGCACCTGATTATTTTTGCTAGCTCTTAACCGGAAGAGGCCCGCTCTCGACCCGCTCTCGACCCGAAAAATGTGCATCTGATTTGTTCATAGGTGCTCGGTTTGGCTCAAAGTTGAACAGGCATCTGAGGAATCTGGCTCCCGCCCAACAGTGAGGAGAGGGCCACTTCCTGCTCTGCACGTACCCGCATTGGGGTAGACCCGTCGCCATTCTGATTTTCTGTGCAGTCTCCGGCCTTCTTGGGGCATCTCAGGATTGTCTTGAGGCCACCTGGGGCCTCCTTGTGAGTATCTAGGGGAATGATCAGATCGAGAAGCCAATCTTTCCTAGGTGTTCGGCCTCCGATGGCCTTGCTGGAGGTATCCTTGGAACCTAGGGGAGTTTTTTTGTGGCCTGTTATGGCCTCTCTGGGGGACGATTTGAGCCCTTCGAGGTATTGTCAGCCATAGAATTTGAAAGGGTGGACTCCCTCCTGTCCTTGCTCAGGTGGGGGGGTGAATAGCGCTCCCAGCTGCGAGAGACTCGTTCTTCTTCCCCCGCGGCTGCGGCGTCTACGGAGCTGCGGCGTTTCAGCTTTTCCTGCCTGCTATGATTCGCGTCATGTCGAGTGAAGTGGCTCCCGCGATCTTCGGCCGCTCAAGCATTGATTATTCTCGGGCCCAACCTTGTTTGGGACTCGCATTACTTTGGGTGGTCTGTGGCTGATGTTGGGTCGTAGCTACAGCCGTCCTGGAGGGGTCCCGGGGCAGACTATAGCGCCGAGGGGCGCACCTTGACAGGCGTGCTCTCGGAACGATGGCGCTCCGAGGGGGCGAAGCTGCCGCCGACAAACTGACAGGCATCCCGACGAGTTCCAACATGCCGTCGGCACTGCGGCGGACTCTCGATGAGGTGTTGTTTCGGGGATCTGCGTGACTCGCTTCAGGGCGTGTCTGTCTGCAGGCGATCCCAGGCGCAGTTGCGCGTTCATGTGCCAGGGGCGGCTGGCGGGTAGGGATCGGACGGCAAGGTGAGGCGGACGGGCTCGGCAGATCAGTGAGACAAGGCTGGAATGGGAGAGAGGGATAGCAGGTGGAGGCGGACACGTAGAGAAGGAGAGGGGAAATTGTGGAGAAAGAGAGCGGAGGGGACACGCCAGGCGAATCCAAGGACCCCCTTTTGAGTAGAATGCTTCTACCTCGGCCCCTGCCGCACGCGTGGGCTGAGGGGCAAGAGTGGGGAAAACATATTCAGCCTCAGAGAGCTGAGGCCAGGTCCCCAGAGGGGATGTGCGGGGAGAAAAGGTGTATGCAAGTGCTGCGGGGACCGATCACCAAACCGTGAGTCGTTTCCTTTTATTTTACATCGCACTCTTGACGTACGAGTGGGACGAGCACAGATGGTGGTGTCAATCATTTAATCGGTGTTCGACCTGTACGACAGTCCCGAGAAGCATTCGAGACCTGAGATGCCCTTCTGGGCCCCGCAAGTCCATGTCAGGATCCTGTTGACGGACACTTTGGGAGAGCGTCATTCGGGGAGCTTCTCCCTCTGGCGCTCTTGCCGTTGATCCCTTGACGCGGCCGCTCTCCAACAAGTCGAAACACTCGGACGCCTCGCTCGGATGTGCGTCCCGTGGTCTCATGATGCGGCTCCTCTTGTTGCCGTGCTCAGTTCCCTGCAGTATCTGTTTGCCCTTGGCCACGTGGGCCTGCTTCGGCGGCACCCGCTGTGGAAGCAGACGTGCGAGCCCACGGATGCGACCACGCGTGCTGGGTTCGGTTGATTCCCCCCTCCCCTGGCCTTCCGCATCTCGTGATCCCGCGCATGGGCGTGTGGGCTCGGGCCCGTGGCCGCGGGGCCCCCGCGGCCTCGCCGCGTGAGTGCGCCCTCCTCCTCCTCCTCCTCCTCCTCCTCTGCCTGTCTCTGCGGCCGGCTCTCCTCTTCTCCGCTTCCTCCTGCATGCGGGACAGCTCGCAGTGCCGTAGCCCGGATTGCTCGGACGCGCGAGCGGATCGCCTTTGCCGCGCCAAGACGGAACGGCGTGGGCTCGGGCCCGTGGCCGGCGGGGCCTCAGGCGCCCCTCGCCGTCGTGGCCCCTCGTGTGCGCGCGGCTGCTCTCCAGAGTGGACTCGCCTCGTCCAGTGGCCGGTGGCCCCGTGGCCAGCAGCGGGGCTGCCTCGCGCGCAGCGGGGGCCGTCGAGGGTAGATCCGGCTGTCCGTGGCCTGTGCTCCCGTGGCCCGGGTTGGGCCCCGGCCGTTCGTCAGACGCCTCTCCGTCCCACGCCTCAGGCCTTGGTTGAAGTCGGGCGTGTCCCTCTACAGGAGGAGTCTCCAAAAATAGTTAAGAAATAGTCAGGGGACGTCAGTTTCCACAATTTTTGAGCATTTTTGAATATTTTCATTTTTCGTCCAAAATCCGCCTGTAGGAGGACACGCCCGACCTAAGCCTTGGTTCGGGTGGTCTGTGGGACCACCCCTCGCTTCAGGAAGAGGTTTCGAGAGTCTGGTGTCTGCCTGCAGCTGTGCGTAGCCCGCCTAGCTTTTAACCGGAAGAGGTTCGCTCTCGCCCCGCAGACCAATAATGTTTGCCTGCAGCTGGCTCACGCCGTCGACAACTGAGCCGCACCCGCCGTTGCCACCCTCTGCTGGCCACCCGTCTGTGTCCTTTCCGAGGGGGTGGCGTGATACCTTGGAGCGACGGGGGGCATGGTCGAGAGGGATGTCGCAGAGGGTGGGGCTGGACGTGCCCGTCGAAGCTGAAGAGACGGAGCAAACTGCAGGGGCCAGGCGATCACCATCCTGCTGGCCGCAGTGGTGCGGCGTGCCTGCGCTCCTCTGCTTTCCCATTCTTCTGGCACTGCGCCGGGCTCTCCACGGATGCTTCATCTTCTCGTTGGTCCGGTATCGTGGTCTCAATGAAGTGCGCGCTCGGCCTCTAGTGAGTGCCTGGTCGTGGCGTGGCCAGGGGTTATGATTCTCATGGTGTCGCAAGGACGTTTGTGTCATCGGTCGTATACTGTGATGCGTGCATGGTATCCTGCTGCCGGCGGCACACCCCGCCACTGTGCCAGCGAAGTAGTACAGCAGCGCAGCAGCACAGCAGGAATGACGTTCAGCCAAGACCCTCTCAAGTTCAGACAGGGCACTGGACCAGAGCGGGTCTTGCCAACCTCCGTCTTGTCCGCAACCTCGTTCTCCTCTTCTGTTCTCCTCGCTCCTCCGCCTCCTCCTTCGCGGATGTTTCAATATGAATTTGGCAGCTTGCTTGGGCCATCTTGGTGCCCTCCAGGGCAATTTTGGAGGCCTTTGGGGCTCTCTTGGGGTCCTGCAGGTGTTTTTTTGGGGCCCTCTGCATTTCGGGCCCGCGTGGAGCCATCCTGAGAGGACATCGACCAGAGAAGGGGGGTCCTCACCCCCTCTGGAGCCCGAAAAGTCGCTTCTTGCAGATCTCTTGGGGCCCTCTTGGGGTACCCTTTGGCGCCACTAGGGTCGTCATGGCGATTACTAATCCTCATCTCGCCTTCAGCAACCAACGCGCTGGCTTCGAACCCGACGATCCCCGATTATTTGGGCACGCTATACACCAGGCTCCACGGCATACAATTGGAGCACGCCCGAAGTGGGCGATGGCTCTATGAACGGGCATTGACAGTCTCCACTCGGTGCATACGGCACTGTTGCGGATACGAACCGTGGCATCTGCGCGTCTGTGAGGCACAAGCGGTAATGTTAGTTCTGGAATTTTACAGGGATGACCCCTTCTTGTCCTCTCTCAGGGGGTGTGGGAATAGCGCTGCCGGCGGCGAACGATTTGTTCAATCGCTTCTCACTCATTCCGCCAGCCCATCTTGCACCACTGTGGCTATATGTTGGCGTGCCCATGGCGGGCGAGAAGGAGAATTAGGGGACTCGATAGGAGAGGAGGGGGAGGAGGAGGAGGAGGAGGAGAAGGAGGAGGAGGAGGAGAAGGAGGAGGTGGAGGAGGAAGAGGAGGAGGAGGAGGATGATGATGATGATGAGGAGGAGGCATCTCGGCGGCTTCTTGGGGCACTGTCGAGACCTACCTGGGTCGCGAGCAAGACGCCTCTTTGGGCTTCTTGGGGTCTCTTGGGAGGCCTCTTGGGACCTCCTGGGGCCTTTTGGGGGCCCCGTGGGGCATTCTTTTGGGCTTCTTGGGGGTCCACTGGCAGTCTCGGGGGTTAAATTTTGGGGAAGGTTCGATATGTCTGTTCGGGTTCCCCCTCCTGGGGCCCTCGTGGGAGGCTCTGAAGCCTTTTGGGGAGGCCTCATGGGCCGTCTAGGGGCCTTCTAGGGCTGTCCTGGGAGCCTCTTGGGACAACTTGGAGGCCTCTTGGGCCGTCCTGGGCGGTGAGAAGCTTGGAAAGGCAGTAACGCCAGAATCTATCAAAAACCCAAGTTAAATCAATAATTGTTGGCTCTTCGGGCCATCTCGGGCTCCTCCTGGAGCCCTCCTGGGGCGTCCTGGGCGCTTGTTGGGCCGTCTTGACACCAGCTTGGGCCATTTTGGAACGCTCTTGACCTGAGGCTGTGGGGCCTGCCACCCACTGCTTGGGGCGCCCCTGGGGCGCTCCGAGGGCCACCAGGGCCGCGCCCAGGAGCTCCGGCAGCTGTGACCCGGACTTGCCGGGGCCCTGCCGGGGCCCTGCCGAGACCCTGCCAGGGGGGTATTTCTCAGGAGGGGAAAAACACACACAGACACAATTAATCGTCGATTTCCCCCCAAATATGGGAAAATATGGGAAGTGGGGGGGAAAGCAACACCCCCAAAAATACAGGAGAATACGGGGAATCCTTTTATTTGTGTGTATTTATTTGTGTGTCCTGGGGCTCCTTCAATTTCCTCGTCCGCGGGACCCCGAGGGTCCGCCACGGGCGCGCGAACTGGAAACATTCTGAAGCTCTTGCTGGAGATTTTTTGCGCGCCTCTGGCCCGTTGGGCTGGCGAGTTTTTCGTCCCCCCTCGGTGTTGTGACCCGCAGCCGGCGGTGTGGTTTTTGCTGCCTGCCACGGTTCGCGTGATGCCGCGAGACGCGGCTCTGGCGATCGTGGGCCGCTCAAGCAAGTACTGTTCGGCCTCAACGGTTTTTTCTTGCACTCACGATCCCTCTTAGCATGATGCCCTTTGTCCAACTTGGAGCCAATCGCCTCACAGTGACCGTTTAGGAGGGCAGCTCGTCGACGTGGCTGGACGCTCCGTTTACACGGCGTTTGATGCAGCTTAGTGGCTTCAGGATGGAGTCGTCGAACCTGCCATCGTGCTGATGTTTGAGGAAAACAACAGATGTGCCGACCTGCGATGGGCAGGCACACGCGCTGAACCGTTGCCAGAAGGATGAGTGACTCTTTGATCCGCACGGCGGTCGAGGCCGAGTCGGGTGAAGCTTTGTGGGCGCGTTTCCTCCTCCCCCAAAATCGCGTAGTGGCTTGACTACAGGATTGATTGGCCCCAAACTTGCTCCTCTTGCAGATCCGGGGAGGGAAGTTCGCCTCCGGCTGTCGGTCCATTCTCTTGCCGATCCCCCGCTCCGTTCCGGGAGTTCCGGCATCAGTGACCCGGACTTGCCGGGACCCTGCCGGGGCCCTGCCGAGACCCTGCCGGGGGGGCATTTCTTCGTCCGCGGGACCCCGAGGGTCCGCCACGTGCGCGCGAACCGGAAGCGTTCCGAAACTCTTGCTGGAGAACCAGGCGTGCCGAGCGAGGTCGAACGTCCCGAGGGACACGTCGGCAGACGCGCGTGGAGCGGAGGGGCAGCGCCCCTGCCGCCGAGGGCTGCGCCGGGCTGCTCCAGGCGCCGCAGGACAGGGAGGCCCCTGCGGCGCGGTGCTGCTCTCGCTGTTTGGTCGCCAGGGCCTCTGGCCGAGGCAACTCTCTGGGAAACTCGGGAGGGGGACATATACACAGACACAATCAATCGTCGATTCCCCGGAAAATATGGGAAGATGTGGGAAGTGGGGGGGGGGAGACAAAAGCCCAGAAAATAAGGGGAAATACGGGGATTCCGGTTATTTGTGTCTATTTATTTGTGTGTCCCAGGGCCCCTTCAGAAACGTACAGTCGGACCGAGGTAGAAGATTTGGGTCGTCTCGGGGAGGGTACCCCAATGTCCTTCGTGCTCGTTGGATGTGCTTGTGCATCCTCGGGGTTGGGCACCCTCGAAGGTTCCTCAGTTTGGGCCGGCGGAGGGTCTTGTGTTCTTGAGGGGTGTTCTACTATAAGTCCGACTGCAGGTCAAGGGAGCAACAGACCACCCCGACCCCCACAATTGGCGTTCGCTGATCGGCGCTGGGCGTTTGTTGAACAGCCCAGCGCTGTCTGATTCCTTCCGTCGGGTGCGTTTACGAAACGGCCCCGCTTGTCTGGGTGCCTGATTGTGAGAGTATTCCTCCTTAGTGCTCTCTGGTAAGACTCGAGTTCGCCGGAACTCGGGTCTGCCGGCGTTTTTTGGCGGGACCGTCTCGAGTTTGGACGGCCCAGTGTTCATGGGAGGTTTGCAGCGGGATCCCGCGGTAAATTTTAGGCTGGGGCTCGTCATGTTCTTGACGGCGCCGTGAGGCCAACCCGAGCCCCCCAGACCCGAGTCTTACGTCTCCCTGAACCGCGGGCTCCCGTGTGGCTTCTTGCAGGCGGCTCCGTGCTGGACCGCCCCCCGCCCCCTTGACGCCAGTGACTGCCTTACTCGTGCAGCGCAAGGTGGAGATCGTCCAGAGCGCAGCGGAAACGCTCAAGCATGCAGCTGTGTGTGGGCAAGTGAAGTTCCCCCCTCTGTCAATTAAAGCTGTGCGCGGCCTGCTTAGCTTCGACCGGAAGAGGTGCGCTCTCGACCCGCGGATCAAAAAAGTGGGCAAGTGAAGATGTATCCTTTTCCCAGTGTTCCCTACAGTCGGATTGCTGCGGAACGGCATTCGCGCGTTCAGTGGCGTGGCGGTCGGCTTACCGAACGGATTGGCTTATCTTGGTCCTTTGCAGCCGTGAGGTCAAGCACGCTGTCGTACCTATCCGTAGTGCACGCGGACAGGGTTCTTACGATGCAGTGGGGCCCGTTGTGCATCTGGGTCGACTTGTGTGGTCGCAAACTGTTCTCTAGCGCACAGCAGTCGTGCTTGCAAAGAAGCGCTGTGCATGAGTTTCACAGGCCCCTGGTACAAACTTCTGCGGTGCGCAGTCGTGTTTGCCGATTTGCATTTGTAGCACTGTGGGGTGCCAGGGTGCTGATAAGCGTGCGCCAGAGATGCATCGTCCATAGGCAGGTCACGTCTGGCCCGCATGGAGTCACCTGCATGGGTGCAGTGTGCGGGGGTCACTGGGATGCATGTTCTTGGAAAGCGCAGCTGCCTGCGGCAAACTCCGCCGCCGTGCTAGCGCATCAGCACCAGCAGCGCAGCAGGAAGGGTGTTGAGTTCCAGATATGCACAAGCTTAGTGCCGTGTCTGAACTGGCGGGGGGGCCTTAATCAATCATTCCTTTTCCGCAGCACCGTCCTCCTTCTCCTCCTCCTCCTCCTTCTTCCTCCTCATTCCTCATTTTCCTCCCGTCTCCTCTTGAAGGTATCATGAAATGTTAGCCGCTGCTTCTTTGAGGCTCTCTTGGGGGCCTCTAGGGGGCGTGTTGGGGGCTTGTTGGGGACTCGTTAGGTCGTCTCGGGGCCGTCTTGGGCGCGATGGTTCTACCGACCTTCCGAAGAGGCTCGGTTGAACCGTTTTGGGTGCGGCTCAGCGGATCTCAGGACCGTCTTGTGGAGCCCTCTCGGGCCGTCTTGGGGTTCTCTTTGGGGGTCGTCTTGGGCGATCTGCAGGGCTCTGTGGGGCTTGCTGCAGCTTTCCCGAGGCCGTCTGCAGCCGAACAGCTTTGGAACAACACATTACATTAGCTTTGGAAGCAAATTGCATTGAGTTTCGGATTGGTTTTGTATTGTTTTGGACGTCACCGGGCCTCAATGGAGGCCTCTTGGGGCGTCTCTTGAGAGATTCAGCGGACCTCCTGGAGCAGTCAGGAGCTTCTGTGGTGTCGTTGGGCCGCCTTGGTCTGGCCTTCGGGTATCTCGCCGCCATGTTGCAACAGTCTTAAGACAAGTCGGAGCTGTCTAGAGGCTGGAAAGCGTCAGGAAAGCACAAGTAGGAGGGCGATCTTTGGAGGGTGTGCGCTGCTAGGGGGGGACAACCAGTCTTGTTCTAAGACTCTAGTGTTCTAAGACTCCAGTGGAGTCTGAAAACGATCTTGGCTGTCCCCTCCTTGCAGCGCGGCCATCCACCGGTGGGCACGGTGTGTGGATGGCCGCGGTAGAGCCCAACCACACACTGGGCTAGGGAGCTGGAGTCGGCCACGCGGGCAATCGGGGGTGTGTAGGGAGGACTATTGTGAGCGTCGAATGCACAAGAAGAGTACATGCAATGATCGCTGTGATGTTTCAGTGTGAGGCCCCGCTTGAATTTGCCTGTTTGTGAACTGCCACATTATGAAAAAGCCAGTGTAGGTTCTACTCGCGCAGCAGGGCATCGGCAATCGTGGGTGCGTGCCTCGTGATCCATGCGCGATGCTGGGTAGGTCAGAGCATTGGCCGACCTCGGGCGTATACGATACTTCTCTTCGTAATCCTTCGTTTCTCCTCTATCTCGTTCCTCCCCTCCTGCCGCCCAGCGAATGAGGCTGCAGCCTTCGGTGAGTGGCCGGGCTGGAGGCGTTCGGTGACGCCACGGAGGCAGGGGCTGGGGATGGGTGCAGGGCACCCACCATGTTGTAGGGTAGCATGATTTGACACTGAAGTGAACGGCTCCTGAGGCACCCGCACATGCGCATATGCACGCCCACGAACATGCGCGCGCCTGCGTGTACGTGCGCCCCTCCTGCCTTCGCCGGGCGTTCCTCCTCTCTCCCCCGTGCATCGCGGCTTAGTTCGCATTTGTATGTCCTATTTCTGCTCTTCCGCCAGCGCAGTAACTCTGCCTAGCCGCCGACGCAGCAAGGGTGTACGTGCGCTCGCACGTGCACGTGCGCACGTGCACGCGACCTTGCCGTTGTGCCGAGGTCCTCTGGACCCGCAGATATAAAACGCGCGTGTGGCGCAGCGCAGGGCCACGTAGCGTGCGTGCAGCGCGCGCTGGCGGAGCACTGTGTTCGAGCAGTTACCCATGCAGCGGCCGACTTCTCAAGGCTCCCGCCGTGCTGTGGACGAAGGCTCCCGCCTTGAGCCGACGGCATGCGCAGCAGAAGGTCCCCACGTCCTCGGCTGCTGAGCTGTCGAGAGCACGGCTGCGTTTGCAGGTTGCCAGGTCGCGAGTGATCGGGCTGCCAAGCTGCCATGAGCCTTTCACTACTGTGGCCTCGCAAGAGTCCTCCAGATGGCATGTCAGTGATTTGTCGAGTTGGGTGGACATTACGTCGTGCGCTGCCTGTGGCTTGGAGTCTTGACTTCGCGAAAGTCCTGAGTAAGGTTGGTGTCACGGGTGGCGGCGCCTGAGTTGGGACGCGCTGAATTGCCGTATGTGGCAGTCATCCTGGCATCGTGCCCCTGTCGGTGTGTCATGCTCTCTATTGTTGTACTTCTTAGACCTTCCTGTGGGTTTAGATCTCCTTTGGAGCTCGCATGCGCCAAATCCACCTCCGCAATATCCGCATTTACAGCCTGGGCGTCATGCCCCCTGAGGCTCGAGAACCTCCCGCGGAGCAGCAGCCAAGGATACCTGCCCGCCCCCGAGGGCAGGAGAGCATCCGCAACCACCGTCCTGCAGTGAGCTGGGGCAGGACTCCAATCTCTGCGGATGTGGACGCTCCTGCCCGCTGCACCGCTGCCTGGCCGTGCGTGCATCTCCTCGCCTCTCTCTGCCGACTCCGTCTGCGCCCGCAGGGGCAGTCACACCGCGGCCACCCCAAGGACGCCCGACCTTCCGCCCCACGGCCACCGCGCGCCGCGAGGTGAGGGAGGGAGAGAGAGATAGCGAGGCAGGGATATATGCACACACATATATGTATATATACACACATACACATGTGTTTACGTATATCTCTATATATGTATATATATAGAGAGAGAGAGAGAGAGAGAGAGAGAGAGAGAGAGGGAGAGAGGGAAGGAGGAGGGATGCTCGGATCCAAGCGGGCTTCGAGGGATCTAGAGGCTGACTTCTCCTCTTCGTTGGAAGGTGGCGTAAGGCTGGCAGAAGCAGCGGAGGTAAACGATGCTCCGCAAGAGATGCCGCCTTGATTTGATTCAGGGTTTCTGAAGCGGGCGCAATCTAGGTCACGCTGGATGGCAAGCGTCGGTGTTTCGAGGCCACAGTTTGCACGAGGCAAGTGCATGTCCCTTCCCGCTTTTGGTATTTTCCCAACCATCCTGTGGTCTTGGGTCCTCGTTTTGAAGGGATATTCCCCGCGTTCACTCCTCCCGCTGCCTCCTCCTCCCCTCCCTCCCCCCTCCTCCCGTCACCCCCTCATTTTGGCACACTTCTCACACGTTTCGTGGCCCCAACGCTCCACCGAAGGCACCAGTGGAAGTGCCCACATGCGTCCGCCACACCCAGTACAGCGTTTCATGGCTCCATAGGGGGCTCCACCGAAAGCCCAAGTGGAGGTGCCTGCACGCGTCCGCCACTCCACTGAAGGCTCCAATGTGGGGGTGCCCGCATGCGTCCGCCACACCCAGTACAGCGCTTCGTGGCCCCATAGAGAGCTCCACCGAAGGCCCCAGTGTGGGGGTGCCCGCATGCGTCCGCCACACCCAGTACAGTGTTTCGTGGCCCCATAGGGAACTCCACCGAAGGCCCCAGTGTGGGGGTGTCCGCATGCGTCCGCCCCATAGGGAATTCCACTGAAGACCTCAGTGGGGGTGCCCGCATGCGTCCGCCACACCCAATACAGCGTTTTGTGGCCCCACAAGGGGGCTCCACCGAAGGTCCCAGTGTGGGGGTGCCCGCATGCGTCCTCCACACCCAGCACAGCGTTTCGTGGCCCTACAGGGCGCTCCACCGCCACACTCAGTACAGCGTTCCGTGGCCCCATCGGGAGCTCCACCGAAGGCCGCAGTGCCACCGCCCGCATGCGCCCGCCACGCCCAGTACAGCGTTCCGTGGCCCGACAGGGAGCTCCACCGAAGGCCACAGGGGTGGTGCCCGCATGCGCTCGTCACACCCAGTACAGCGTCTTGTGGCTCCATAGCGAGCCCCACCGAAGGCCACAGGGGGGGTGCCCGCATGCGCTCGCCGCACCCAGTGCAGCGTCTCGTGGCTCCATAGCGAGCTCCACCGAAGGCACCAGTGGGGGTGCCCGCTTGCGTCCGCCACACCCAGTACAGCAGTTCGTGGCCCCATAGGGCCCCATAGAGAACTCCACCGAAGGCCCCAGTGGGGGTACCCGCATGCGTCCGCCACACCCAGTACAGCGTTTCGTGGCTCCATAGCGAGCTCCACTGAATGCCCCAGGGTGGGTGCCCGCATGCGCCCGCCACGCCCAGTACAGCGTTCAATGTCCCGATGGGGAGCTCCACCGAAAGCCCCAGTGGGGGTGCCCGCATGCGCTCGCCACACCCAGTACAGCGTCCCGTGGTTCCATAGCGAGCTCCACCGAAGGCACCAGTGGGGGTACCCGCATGCGTCCGCCACACCGAGTACAGTGTGTCGTGGTC